GTCTCTCCGCTTGCAGATTTCTTATATTTTTTCTTCTACCCTGAAGATGGAGGCGATACGTTCCTCCGAAACGTCGGTTAACACCACATATACACGGTGCCAAATCCCAGAAGACTGCTTTCTTAAAAAAGTATTATTTGCTTCTACTTCAGGATCCATTGTTCATGCACTTTGATGTCTATATCCAGATCTGCCAGGTCGTCGTTCTGCTTCTAGCATAAAGTTAAATTTTAACAACGGGATTAATTAATTAACCACCACACCATCAAGACGAATACGGGGAAGGAAGTATAGCTCCACAATTCTTAACCTCGGCACTAGATGGAGTTGAGTGGTCAATTCCATGTTCCTGGCGTTTTATTTCCAGGGAAAGAGCCCCCGTATACCATTGTTTTGGAGGCTGCCGATATAGACGTCATGGAATAGAGAAAAATCTCTGGCCTCTGCGGGGAATCGAACCCCAATTCCTCGGCCGCCCTGCCCGCAGGCTATTCTGCATCTGCTGCACATTCCTCTCGCATAACCCACCTCTTGTATAATGACCGTAAGAACGCCTCATGAACTGTGAATTTATGCAACTGTCTCCACCCTCCCGTCACTTTCCTTATGTCCTGAACACGCTATTCTGAAACACGATCAGTGTACTTTCCTTCCTTAATTTGAGGGACGAAGCCTCAGAAGCAAGGCAAACAATACCCGCGGTAAATCCCTCCACTAGTATAGGTTGGGGCATTTGATACTTACGTGTACATTCTATTACACTGTCACGTAATTTTATGTAGTCTGACTGTATACGGCGTTTGGATTGATAATCGGATTTATTGAACTCTTTGATACAGTGCATGACTACATTTTACAGTTCACTATTACACATACACGCACACACACTGGCGTCCACAGGCACAGGCACCCAAGTCCTCTAGCAGAATATGGTTGCAGGTCGACTTACTGATATTCAGGCCATCAGCGAACACTATTTTCATTGGTTGCATCCTGTTGTGTGTCTCAGACAATATATAATATGTAGGAACTATGCTACCGTCAACACAACAATATTTCAGTATTACACTTAGATCTTTATTTACTGCGACATGCGAATACAATACCAAATACCCACATACCATCAAAGTTGTACATCATTGAAACTTGTCTTTGGGCCTCATATACCGGTCTTATTACGTAAATGTAATGTAATACCGAAATATTGTTGTGTTGACGGTAGCGTAGTTCCTACATATTATACAGTCTTCCCGTACCATGTCTCTGATTCGAACCCCGTTGTCTTCGTTCCGAGAACTCAAGGGCCGGCCTGATCTTGTGTCACCCTCCACCGACATCCTGCTAGACCCGAATCGCATGTGCCACTCAAACACTAGCGCCCGAAATAAAGCTCCATATCCGTCGGCATCACGCAGAAGCTGCAAGTCTCTGTCCCGTAATATGTCCCGTATTCAGAACACCATTTCCCGGAATTGCCACCATTTACCTAAGCCGAGATATGAAATCAGTCTCCGAACTTTATGGACAAAGGATGTATTTTGTCCTGCCTAGCATAGTCTGTGTGACATTTGTCATACTCCTATATACCAGGCGCTTCCTCAATTAACTGCACAAAAACAAATAAATAGCAGAAAGCAGTCTTCTGGGATGTGGCGCCGTGTAGATATTGAGTTAACCGAAATTTCGGAAGAACGTATCACCTCCATCTTCAGTGTAGAAGAAAAAAGAAGAAAATCCGCGACATCACGCCGGTTCTCGGATTTTCTTCTTTCTTCTTCTACCCTGAAGATGGAGTCGATACGTTCCTCCGAAACGTCGGTTAACACAATAACTACATGGTGCCACATCCAAGAAGACTGTTTTCTTCATAGTCACCGCCGTGAAAACCTTAAATATTACAAAAAAATTGCAGCTTTGTCAACTTTTCGCGCCATCTACCGAAACAAATGAATCACTGACGCGCATATTAGAACAGTTGACACTAGATAACCACGCGACCACGCAGATGTGAGAAGACTTGCGTGCTCCGCTGCAAGCAAATTGAGTTTCTACAGTTTTTCGGCGAGTTGCGTTGCCGTTTCCTCGATTTACGCTGCTCCATTCAGTAACATGTGTTCAACTCGGGCTAAAAGCAATTCTCAGAAATTGCAGTTGCGTTTCGGTTGCCCGTTTCCTTGGTGTTCCATCGCCACAAGAGTGTAACGAAGTTAAAAGTAACGCCTTATATTGCAGGTGCAAGTGAAGTTGGCTGTAGGAGCAAAGAAAATGAAACCAAGATATCATTCCAGTCCGGTGGAAAGAGGCCACTTGAGCTAGAAATGACAACTGGAGAGAATCAAACTGGAATTCAGGTAATTTTATATGCCAAAAGCCACACGCCACACAGTGTAGTAACAACTGGTATAACTCTTATACATCACTGACAGAATTGTTAAGCCCCGAGCAATTTTAGAAATTTGCTTTCAATTTCTGTATTTACAACTTCCATCATATAACAAGTTATACAAAGAGGACCTAGCAAACAAGCAAAACTTTTTTCCTAGTTCTCTTTCCTTTTTCAGTTAGTTAGTTGAGTGTTCTCAAACCTCCCTAAGCTCTTAGCTAACATAATACCAACGATAAATGGTTTCTTTCTAAATAACCCATGCAATGCATCCACTGTGGCAGAGCATGGTACTATGAAGGGGGAATGGGAATGCATATAGGATATTGGTGGGTAATCCAGAAGGAAAGAGACCATTATGAAGATCAAGAAGTAGCTGGGTGAACAATATGAAAAGTGGACAAGTGGAGGGCTCTTGTTAACATGGTAATGAACCTTCAGGTTCCATACAATGCTGGGAAGTTCTTAAGTGGCTGNGTTTACTATGTACACAGTTCACGGAGAGATACACGAAACACGTCCTCGCCGTTCGGTGTGCGCAGTAGAAGTGGCATGAGTGAGTGAGTGAGTGAATTCACCATAGTAATAATGTGTGTATATGTACCACACATGGTTGCAATACTTTTATGTACACACTACTCGCTGGAAAGTTACAGAACATAGCTCCCATTCCTACAAATCCCCAAAATGTATCAAGTTACCCAAGAGTACATGAGCCAAACATCATATACAGGGTGTCCCAGGAGGAATGTGCCAAACTTCGGGAGGGTGTTCCTTATGTTATAGTATGCCGATATAACCCAAAACACCTATGTCCAAAGTTGAACGGTTATGGAGATAATGGCCCGAGAAAAGTGTGGCCTTCTGGCAAGTCCACGCACTGTACCTGTCAGCTGGCCTGTCTTATCTATGTTTGTCCTTGAGTGTGGTGATGGCAGCTCACATTAGCCCCATACACTCGCATACCAGAACGCACAGTCAGCAATGTTATGTCAGCGCTTGCCATTCATGTGTCATGTATAGTGCTTGGAACTCTTAACGACAACTTTGACTTGGCGTGCGAGTTTTTTGTAGTTAAATTTAATGGCTTCATGTCACTCGCAAGTTAGTTTGATGTTACGTACATTATTAACATTACAGAAACCACATATTCCTGCCAGTTTTAATATGTATTTTGTAATCAACAAGTGTGTAACACCGGTCAAAGTTTCACACTTCTCTGGCCATTATCTCCGTAACCATTGAACTTTGGACATAGGTGTTTTGGGTTATATTGCCATACTTTAACATAAGGAACACCCTCCCGAAGTTTGGCACATTCCTCCTGGGACATTCTGTACATAAACACAACCAATATGCAACAGATATCTGCCCACATCTCATTATTATATGTAAGCTACAGGAAAAGAAAGACCATATTGGCCACACATTCAATACCATAGACCCTCTGAAATTCAACAATATTGGTAAACAGAAAGTAAACAGTGTCCTGTCATTCAACAAGCTAGAACCTCAGCAACTGAAGTGTATGCCAGACAAAATAAATACATAAATAACAAATAATTATGCCATGAGCTGATCTCCAAGACATCATAAAATTCCATCCATTTTCCAGTTTAGTGATTAAGGTTAATAAATTTATGATTCAACCATTCCCTCGAGGAGTAAGTAACTGCTATGTCATTGTGATGGTACCCTTCAAAGGATTCAAATCAATTTCATGCATGCACACACCTTGTACTGACATGAGATGTTCATCACATTCTGTACTCAGCACAAGCTTCTACAGGTTTTATACTATTTAAGAGTATGGCTCAGTTATTGTTTCATAATACTTAATAAGTTTCCTATCAGAAGAACATGAGTTGATGCAGCTTAAAAAGTGTTTGCTGAGAACAATATCTGTACCATAGACGGTTGAAATAAAAGAAGGCATGAGAAAACTGTATAACAAGGAGATTCACAAGCTGAAATGTTCAACCAACAGAATTAGAGTGATGACATCAAGTATGAAGCAGACAGGACATGTAACATACTTATAACTAGGGAGAGAATAGATTTGGTGGGAAAATCATGAGAGAGAGAGAGAGACCACAAAGGTGGCTTAGGAATATGTGGGAGCATAACACTAAAACAGATGATAGAGAAATATTGAAAGATGGTATGAAGTGGATACCTTCAGCTCAGGACAGACACCATGGCAGGGAGAGCATGCTAGCTTAATTCAGCTGAAATCGTATACCGACGAATTTGAGGGGCAAGAACCACAGGTAGAATCACGATAACGAAGAGTGCCTTATAGGGAGCTGGTGTTTACATTTTCATTACAGTGTATATCGGAAATTACTACTAACAAGATATCAAGTAAACTCGTGATAACACAGGATATCTCACAGGGAACTTTTGACCCTCTATATGTTCAGCTTGAGACATTCAGAAACATAACCACTTGTTGTCGTCCTCAACGACCACAGCCACTACCACCACCACACCTATGTACAGAGATTCTTTTTGCATCTGAAATCTGCATATGCCTATATTCTGCTCTGGTGAATAATGGCTTCTACTTAAAATGTTACAAAGTACTGACATTTATTTCTGTGAAAATTAAATAACTCAGAATATGTTACAGGTAGAATATAAAACCAGTACTGAATGGTAGTAATGTTTAAGTTCACATAAGTAGTATGTCTTCCAGCCTTGCTAGGATGTATATTGTACATCACAATTAGACAATAACGTTTCAGGAAGCAAAATGGTTGGACAAGCAGGTGTTCGATACTAACATGCATCTAACCCTTCATTCTGGATATCATGTGAACACTTCTGATACAGTTGAAACAACTATGAAAGGGAAGATTTTTGGATGGAATGCAGCTGCAAGGGAAGTGGGCTGGAGGAGCAAAGAAAATGAAACCAAGATATCATTCCAGTCCTGTGGAAAGAGGACATCTGAGCTAGAAATGACAACTGGAGATAATGAATCCAAAATTCCGGTAATTTTATACATCAAGAGCCACCCACACACCACACATTCCAGTTTCATAGTAGTTAACATGAAATATACTTATTTTGGTAGTTAACATCAGGGTAGAATAAATATAGATGTGTGTTAGGGTTTACGAAGACCAGTCCCTGACCGTGGGTCACAACTTTCGGCATGTGGCTGTAACGACAACTAGATTAATGGAAATTCAGATATCAGTATAGTGTGGGCACATGACATTCAAACACATAAATATATGTAGTGCATCTTTATTTTGTAGCCAAGCACTGCCAAGAATGTGGCACTGTTTTCTAATCAGACTCATCAGTTAACAACAATGGGAACTCATAAAGGCAGAAATCATAAAATATTAAGTGTTTGCTGGCCATGCATTAGGAGAGAAAGGGAGCCCACAGTCTCAGGAGATAGAATGGTTATTTCAGATATCATATATGGGAATTTGCATATATGACTTGAAGGCCATTTTGTTATGTGATACTTGTGAAGACCTAACTGTAGACTGATTGGAATTACATCACCTCATGCATCATCTTTATTTCTCCCAGATGCCTAGAACTTAAATACTTAAGAAATTTATGAAAGGAAACGTTTCCGTGAAAACAAATCTCCCATGTGGGTATATTGGCAACATTCTGTCAAGTTCCTCTATGCTTCATACTGGATATGAATATCAACACAGTAACATGAAATGCAGGTATAAAATTATGACTGGTAAATAAGAGCATTTTCAGCATAGAACTTTTATCATCGTAGACATGTATTGCTTGAATTCATAGTACCAGTACATAAGACAGTGGTCCTTTTTCAGAGCCACTGTCCGTGACAAGATCATACACTTAAGGGTGAATGCAACAAGTAATAGAAATCAAAATTATTTCTACAGAGTATGTTTGGAAAATCAAGTAGACGAGAGCACTCTGGAGCCCCAAATCAAGTGAGGCACATCAGAGTTTGTGTACTGGCTCAAACTGAAGCCGAGGGAACAAATGAAGACTGCAATGAAGTACGGCAACCAAGTAAAAGACGACTGTTGGCTGAAGAAATTATACACTTTATTGTGTGTCTGCATATGTGTGTAAGTTAATTGTTAATTAACTGTGATTAATAAGCCTGCAAAACTATTAGCCACTCAGTTTTTAATCTGATACATGACAGCACCTGAGGTCTGTTCACTTTAATTTCACTAACAGAATCCATCTGTTTGTTTACTCAAACACCCACTAGTTCAAACGCATCTCACTCTTATTCCTTCCTTGGACTAGTCACTCTCTAGCTCTTCTGCTGCAGTTATCTTAAGATTTCCGTCTTCTATTTACACATCAGCTTCACTGTACCTTCTGCGAACACTCGGAATGGAAGAGTCCTCTT